GTGGGGGGTGGGAGGGATGGGCCTGGACTCAGGGGCGGGGGGGATGGGGGAGCAGGGCCAGACCTGAAATGTGGGGGCACGGGGGCTGGACATGGGCCTCTGTTCTCCACCCCCTGTCATTCTTGATGGGCAATTGGCTAGTTAAATAAATAAATCCCTAAATGATTAAGCCTTTGCAAATAAATATAATAGAAATTATTCTGATGTGCTCAATAATTGCTTATGGCATTTACTGGAGTAACCAGGAAAGAGGACAAGGTTGATTATAAGCAAGAATCTATAGTCCTCTGAAGGTCATGATGTTCATTGCTGTTTCTGAAAGTTCTAGGAGCTAGATCTAAAAAAAAGACCATAGGCGCTAAAACATTGAGTGCTGAGGCCCTGGGGTAGAATCCAGAATGCAGTGTAAGGCATCTAGATTCTCTAGAAGTATTACGGAGAGAGTGAGGCACTTCAGAATGGGAACCAAAACACCCAGCTGAGTGGGGATCTTTCTGATGGTAGAAGTATGTCTGAACTCCCATCCCTTATTTAGGGCTGCAGGGTGGTATGTCTGTCTCTTCGGGATCCTCATCCCAGAATCCTCTCCTGAAAGTTGGCAGAGATTCCCTTTCTTTCAAAGAACTAAGCAGGGTTCACCCTTTTTCCCTTTTAAAACATGCCACCAGTGACATCACTAAGAAAATCACAGAATTTCCCCTTTGTGTGATTCAAAATGAAATTTTTTTCTTTCAAGTTTTGCAACATATTATTTAAAATCACTTCAAGCAAGCAATTATCTCTGATTTCAGGAAAATGAGTAATGTGCATTTGTCTTTTTTTTCCCTGCTCCTCTAATTTTTTTCCCAAAAATTCTCAAATATTGGAAAAGTTATAAGGAGAGAAAAAAAAGATGAAACTGAAAATTCATGTTGGCAAGTATTAAACTCAGACTTCAGGGAGAATATTTTTGATGAAACCATATTTTTGTAAGAATCATTTAAGCTAAAATTAGGGAAAATGTTATATTTGAAATTTGCTATAGCTATGTTGTAGTAAACAGCAATTGTATACTTTTGCAGCAACTCATTCTTATTTGAATGTATAACGGACACCCTTATGTTAAAAGTCCACTATTCTCAATCAAAAAAACATTTAAAAGTAAGTTTTCCATTATCATTATTTTGTTTGCTTTCCATCTACTAGAAAAGCTGATTAGGATGCATTATTATCAGGTGGCAGAAAATCATGTTATACTCACTTATATGTCCAACATCGTTTCATTAGGTCATAAATCTCAGCTGGACACACTTCAGGGCATTCCATCCTTTCTCCTCTTTCAATCATCTGGCAAACTTCAGCTCCTTTCATTCCCTGAAATAGTAAGTGTCTGAGTTACAGATACAGTACATCATCAGCACTGCAATTTATCATACAACAGGAGTAGATCCCGTACCGATTTCAAGACCATGTTATCAGCCATTTGTTCCATCAAGCTGATGTATATATGTAGCTGAAGGTTACCCTAGAATGGAAGAATCTATATAGAGAGTTATACATCAGATATGTATACATATTTGTGTGCATGTGTGTGTACGTGTGTGCATCCTTAATTTGGTCAAGTTGAGTGAATAAAAATACTCACCTTATATGGCTTCTGTCCATAGGAAAACGCTTCCCACATTAAAACTCCAAAGCTCCAAACATCACTCTTGCTAGAAAATTTGTAATAGTTAATGCATTCTGGAGCATACCACTTGACTGGCCATTTTCCATGACTTTGTGCCTAAAAAGCAGTCACAAAAGAAAAAGCAGGCAATGGAAACAGTTATAAATAATTAGAAGCATCAAAAATTCATACAAGCTATGTTACCTGAGGAAACATTAAGGAATGCTGTTAAAATGTTTATACACAATTAAATGAAAAGTACCAAAAATATATGGTAGGTACCCATTAATGAGAGAGAATGTGTGGCATATTGTAAATAAAATTCATGTTACCTGCAAATTACTTTGGATTATGTTTTTAATTGCACCAAATACAGGTTGTTTATTTAATATGCAATTTCTTCATAACTTTTTAGATTTCATAGACATTAGGGCTGGAAGGGACCTTGGAAGATCATTGAGTCCAGCCCCCTGCCCGAAGGGCAGGAAGTCAGCTGCGGTCATAGGATCCCAGCAAGATAAACATCCAATTTACATGGAACACCATGAAGGTGTTCCATGTAGGTGCTTGAACCACCTCCGATGGCAGGCTGTTCCAGACCTTGGGGGCTCGGACAGTAAAGAAATTCTTCTTTATGTCCAGCCTGAAACGGTCTCGCAGTAGTTTATGACCGTTGACCTCATCATCCCTTGAGGTGCTCTGGTGAACAAACGCTCCCCCAGATCCTGGTGGTCACTCCTGATAAACTTATAGGTGGCCATTAGATCACCCTTGAGCCTGCGCTTTTCCAGGCTAAAGAGCCCCATGGCTCTCAGCCTGTTGTCATTAGGTCTGTTTTCCTGACCTCTGATCATGCACAAGGCTCTCCTCTGGACTCTCTCAAGCTTCTCCACATCCTTTTTGAATTGTGAAGCCCAAAACTGGACGCAGTACTCCAGCTGCGGCCTCACCAAGGCCGAGTACAAAGGGGAGAATGATGCCCCGGGATTTCCTTGAGAAGCATCTATGGATGCAAGCCAGTGTTTTGGTCACTTCAGTACCCACAACATCGCATTGCAGGCTTATGTTCATCTCGTGGTCAATGATGACTCCCAAGTCTCTTTCTTTCGTAGTGCTAGCCAGCGTAGCACTGCCGAGCCTATAAGGATGCTGCAGGTTTTTCTTCCCATGGTGGAGATCCTTGCATTTTTCAGTGTTAAACACCATCAGGTTCTCGTCCACCCATTTGCTGAGCCTGTCCAGGTCAGCCTGGATCACCCGCCTGTCTTCTGGTGTGGATGCTTTGCCCCAGTGTTTGGTGTCATCAGCGAACTTGGCCAGTCTGCTTCTGACTCCAATGCCCACATCATTAAAGAAGATGTTGAACACTATGGGTCCAAGGACAAAGCCTTGGGGGACCCCACTGGTCACAGGACACCATGATGATTGACTTCCATCAATTACTACCCTCTGGGTCCGACTACTAAGCCAATTTCCCA